AGCAACTTTCGCAAGGGTCGGTCACGGGATGGGTGACCAAAAAATTATTATCTCGAGCTACTCCGTGCTTCGGAAGACACGTTAAGCCGTTGGTCCCAGCTGCATTTGCAGTCCTTAATACCCTCCAATCCGCATTGGGCCAGCGTGGAGGGTCATGGCCCATCGTCCTTAACCATCCATAAGGAAGGCCTAAGTCCCTGCAGTGAGGACGTAAAAGGGCTGATAATGATGATCTATTTACTTCTGCTGTTTCTGTTTTTCTTTCATCATGCCGCAGGTTGCGTGGAAGAGATTGCTACGTAGTAATAAACTCGCCCTTTGTATTCTCTCCCTTTTTTTTGTCTACTCTAGCGTGCAATAAACAAAATATTATTGATATATTAATACGTGAAGGAAAAATTTTTGGACCCCTTTTTACGAAAATTGCGAGGACAGAAAATTATGAAATTTGGCACACTTATAGTTTATATGTAGGAGATGTGCAAACGGGTTATATTTTTCAATAATAATATTATATAGTACATTAAATCGATAAATAAAACATTACAAACACTACTATGCATTTGACACACAAAAACAAGTATTTGCTACACGCATACATGTACTCTGTGGTCAAATTGTTTCTTTTGACATAGATTTTGTTTGTTTCTTTTGAATATTGACTTCGCCCGGTTTGTGCATTTAACCAGTGTCAAGTTTTATGTGATTACCATAGACATCTATTTATATGTTTGTGATGTTTACCATGATCTTACTGAATGTCAAAAGATTTTCGATTTCAGTGATAACTTCTACATGAAATTTATTATGGTCGAATTTCGACCACTGGGCGACCACTAGTTACTACTTTACTTACGTTACTAGGTAACACTGACGAATATTTACAAAATGCAGTTATAAATATTACAAAAATCTAATAAACGGGGCCAATATTTCATAATATTAGATTTTTCCTTACTTTGTATGCAAATAATGACAGTGTTCAAAATTTGGAGCCCGTGGATCTGCTAGAAGTACCTTAGAATTCTGATGATCTATGAGTCAGTTAGTGACAAAAAAAAGGTAATTTCCGTAATTCTTCTTCTTCTTCTTCTTTTATTAATGGCTTATCTGCGCATTTTGCACAATTCTGCCAGTGTCAAGTGAATAAATATATTTCTACATGTAAAATGAAAATGAAATGAATGAAAGATGGCGATGATGTCTCCCTTTAAAATACTCTGTTAAATTTATTTATTTATTTATTAGGTATAACAAAAGAAATTAATCAAAATATATATGAATAATAAGTAACAACTGTGTAGTACTAAATTATTATCCTAAAGGTGTTTACACAATGAGATATGATAAAGAAAAAAAAAATTTTTTTTTTACTAATATGAAAAAAGCAGAAATAATTAATATATATCAACCTGGATGATTAGAAAGATGCGACATTTAGGTCTACCACAACTTCTTTAATACATTTTTTGAATTTAAAGAGATTGGCATTAAATATGTCTAACGCCTGATTAACTGGGAGGATTTCATTATAATTTCTACACATACGAGCGATGGGATTATGATAAAATATATTATTTCTATATGTCGGTATGACAAAAGTTGGATGCTGAAAATTTAATGTGACTTGGAAATGTGCCTCGTTATGTAATGCCCTCGTGCTACTGATTTTTTTTATTTTGTGACGCTGTGAAATGCATTACTGCATACCCCGAATTGCCAGCGCGGCTATCCGAGGTTTGTTGAGCTCCCCCTGCGATCCCGCCCCAGAATGACTAGTCAAAGGGCAAGGGTATACCCACTAAAACTCAGCGATATCCCTCGCATGGAAGGCGATGCACGGAATCGGCCCGAAGGCCATACACCGCGCGGTTCGCCCCCATTTCGGCCCACCTTGAATAGGGCAGGTCTCTCTGCGGGTTTGGGGTGCGTCTCAGAGACATTTGATTCCGTGCCCCTAGATAAAGAGGAAAAAATTTATTGTTTGCATGTTTGATTGCATCGAATAAGCTTCGAAACACCTGAACTGATTTAAAAATTCTTTCACCTACGGGAAGCTACATCATATGGTGTTAACATAGGCTATAATTTACATGTGCGAAGTCTCGGGAAAACAGACAGTACGTGTCAGTTTGGTTACTTTGATTATACCATAATGTCCAAATTAAGTGTCCCATACAAAGCGCAACGATATATAGTGAAGCTGTGTGAGATTCGTGTGTGTACGAGCAAAGGGCTAACAGTTTGTGATAACAGTATAAACAATGATTACCTCGAAATATTGGAAAATTTTATTGTTCAGATTTTAAATTATGCTAACTTATAAATATGATTACAGTTTCTCAAATATTACCATTCTGTAATAAAATTGATATATTAATATCATATCAGTACTTAATAGCTCATTATAGTGCACCTAAAACCACTTAAAATTCAACTACTTTTGAGCTAAATAATTAAGACTAAGAAATAGCGTGTTAATTATAATTTATCCAAGACTATACCTATTATAGCCAAAATGTTAGTTTTATTTACTCGGTAGAGAATAATTCACAAAGTTACACCAGAATTAATCATTGTTTATTGTAATTATACCCTTTTAAAAACGAAAAAATGATAAGCGTGTAAATCACTTTATAGCCATTATCATAATAGTTTGCGAGTAATTATAGGAGTTAAAAACTTATTTTGCCGCGCAATTTGTCACTATCTATCTCATTGTGGGGCAAGATATTAGTACCGTCTATTTATTTTAGTCCAATCACTGGTTGTTATTTATTCAGTTGGAAATGTTTAAAAAAATTAATTTTTTTATCAATAATACACAATGGAAGGCGCCCAATAAAGCAAACATTACGTTTTGTAATAGAAAAAAATATGTAATTCCTGTCTATGTATTGTTTTATAACAGTATAAAATTTAAAAGTCCATATTTAATTTTATACAAATTCAAATATTCAAACAAATTTAAATATTATGCTGCCTGGCAGACCAAACGTAGACACTAATTTTGGGACATTTCCTTGCTTATCAAAGAGAATGTAACTTCTTTTTATTGCTTACTAACAAAAAAAGATATCGTTTGTTATTTTTTATATTTACCCACTAGCGCCGTCGCAACACTTTCAACATGAAAGATAATCATCATTATCATCAGCCTTTTAACGTCCCCACTGCAAGGGCTCAGGCCTTCCTTATGAATGGTAAAGGAGAATGTGCCATGACCCTCCTGGCCTATGCAATTGGAGAGTATTAACGATAGCAAATGCAGCTAGGACCAACGTGCCTTGCGAAGCACGGAGTAGTCCGAGATAATATTTTTTTGGTCAGCCATCCCATGACCGATCCTTGTGAAAATTGCTTAACAACAACAATCGCGTGCCACCGCGCTTTACCACTATGCCATCAAGTAACTCAAAGATAATAAGCTAAACTAAAACCATTTAGTTTATTTAATAATACGGAAAGCAACAATATTATAAAAAAGAGGAAATAAATTTTACATCCATGGTAACACGCATTCCGTTTTTATCCGTTTTGATTTTAATACGATTAAGAAAGAAATACCAGCCAGCAAATTACTCCCATATTTATGAAAAATAATGCTCAATTTGACCGGGGCTGTCATGGACGCTGAAGTATTTGGACGCGCGATATTTGGATTTTGTTTATGATATTCATTCAAATTTTATTTCTGACGTAATAAAAGTAAATGAGTATCGAAAAATAATAAATATGACATCGTTTTGTGTTTCTTATGATATCTAAATTTCAAATTAATTTTAATTTATTTTAATCGTAACTTAAAGTTGTTTATTATGTTACGTGTAAAGGAACGATGTTTTGTTTATACCTCAACATTAGTGTAGCCAACTTACTGGTTGCTCGTATCTTTCATCCGAATTGAGGTTTGGAATTAAGATAAAATCAAAATCAATTCAGTCTAGGCTGTTACATATTACTTGTGAAAGTCGAAAACTTTGCCAATGGTTCGCAAAACTGAGGCGGGAGATCTCGTACTGACAAGAATCGGTTAGAAACTCAGCAAGGGCTGCTTTTTTAATTTCAACTATACAACTCGACTATACTTTATTTGAGGGAACGTCCTAACGCACATGACACCACTGCAAAGATTTTAAGAGAACATGACTACTCTAGGTACTTAGTAATATATGTATTTAAATAAAACTGATTTCTAGAATAGGTTGTGTAAGAAGTCAATCTATTATTAACAATATTATTGTAAGAACCAAAAAGAACATACCTACCGTACGAATTAACTTAACATATGGCTCGACGTCCGCCGTCGACATACAAGATCAGCAGCAATAGTATAATAACTGTACTTTGTGATTTTGAAATTTAAAATTATAACCTTGCTGTTCGTTTAGAACAGACGTTTCTTGTTGATTGCTGAATGTTTATTAAGATGATTTATTTATGAATTTAAGATTTAATAACTGATCATTGTTTTTTAAAGTCTAAATTTCAAAAGCACAATCATGTTATTTTTACGTTACACTTTGCACAAACATCATTTTAGCCAGAAGTCATGTTATTTTGTACGAATGCCTAGTATATTTGATACATATCGGGTAATAAACGGATTTTTGTTATATTTATCGTTTTTATGACTTTTGTTGCTGATTAATAAACTCTATTCATCCATTCACCATACATAATATTAAAATATTATCTTTTAATAATACTATTAAAATATTACCTTTCAATATTTTAATATTATGTTTATTAAAATAAAATATTATCTTTGGTCCATTCGTTTCATGCAAAACTGAACATTTCTTAGAGTTGCCATCTAGTGAGGTGCTTTTTTAGTTCTTTGGTTTTTTTTTTAATATTTCCTCATTCACCTGTAAATTAAAAACTATAGTCTCGTACTGTCGATATCGATACTGTATGATAAGATATCGATTTTTTTTCATATATCGATTATTGCATGCCTACTATAAGCCGGCGGCCATCACATGCTTGCGAGACCGCCATTTGCAAATTTTGTGAATTGTTTCGTGGTTCTCGTGTGCTGTTTTGAAATTACGCTAGTGATAATACAAGTACTACAAATGCCAACGAATATAGGATATCGTAGCATTCAGTGATAATTTCCATGTGAGTAAATAACTTGGTAAAATTTGTCGTAATTTTGGACCAAATATGAAGCTTGATTATAGCCGGATGCAAAATGGCGACACTGAATTCAAATAAACTCTCACTTTTATCTGTAGTACTAGTTACCTACTATCATATTTACGTCATAAGATTTAATATTTCTTTATTGATCTTTTAGAAATCATAATGGAGCCGACTCTGGACTCGTCCTTGGTGGCGCAGTCCATAAATTACCACGGTCAACAACTTCAAAAAACGTGGGAAGCTGAACGTGGCGAAGATGATCTTGCTAAAATTGGCGTGGGTGCTTTGGATTTTGCTGTATACCAGTCCAGGCACAAGCACTTGACATTTCAAGATCGCTCTAAAAGATTGAAACTTCATCAATTCATCGCCAAAGAAGCCAACTCTTTGTTTGATGTCTCTCTCTCAGAGGAGACACCGTCATCCTCCAGCTTGGGAACTGATTCAACTACACCAGAAGACAGTGAGTTTTATATTTACTTTTATTGGACAGCGCAAACACCTTGAGATAGGTTCTCATACTCTCAACAAAGCCTGTATTAGCTGATTTATTTCATAATTTGAACTACACTAGGACTGTTGAGAGTCATCATTAACCAGTATTATATTTGTTACAGATTTGTATGCACTAATGCCTCCTTTTGAGACATTCTTGAATGTTGATAAAGTAGCTCGACTGAGACATTTCTTTGATGTAAGTAACATTTTGGTATATTTATTTAGGATTAGGATGACTTTAATTGTATTATGAGAGGTAGAGGAAGATTACTTCCTTTTGTAATTGATCCAAATTATTATAATATAGTATTTCTCCTTTCATAATTTATGAACAGGTATTATTATGCAACTGTCTGTATTTTAAGTTTTATTTTGCAAAATTAAATGTTTTTAAAAATATGGAAAGGGTCCTCCCCTCTCCCTTATCTCCCATTACAGCAATTAAATTGGAGAGAAATTTCTTTACTTGATTAAATTTAATATTTTTAATTTTTTTGGTCCCATCTAACACATATTTTTTCTCAGAATGTGAAGACGGGGGAACTGATCATTGGAGCTGTCATCAATAGAACTGCATCTGGTATGATGTTGAAAGTCTTGTGTACAGCAGGACCTACATCTAGATATGTAGCTGATATAAATGTCAAGGTGAGTTTTGTTATTACTCAATATTTTGCAATCAAATACCATTTAATTTAATTAGATATTGTTATATCTAGTTAAATTAAAAAAAAAAGGATACAAATTAAACTTTAAGAATATTTTCTCTTCAATACCATTCCATCGAGTTGCATGACAGTTAATAAAAAATAGTTCAAGTCACTGATAATGTAACTTTATATTGATGAATGTTTTTTTTTTTGTAAAATATAACTAGTTTTAGTTAGCCAATACAAACAAATATAAGTCTGCTAAAAATATATTACAATTTAAATTAAACATGATTTTCTTTACTACTTATAACTCTTCATTCCAAACTGACCATTATCATGCGATCTCACTATATTTCTTATCTTTTGGAATTAGTAGTTATTATTTATGAATACTGTTATGTTGTTTTTTCATGTTTCCTTTCATTTTTGGCAGGCTTTTTTACCTGTTACGAATATCATACCAGCTGTGGACAAGAAAAATGTATCAAGAAACTACCTAATGAATGACACTGTATGCTGTGAAGTCATAGAAGTTATTCCCGATACTGACAAAATGGTGTGCGGCATGAAAGGAGTCACCAGAGGCCCAGATGATCCACCGCCAAAGCCTCCTCTAGGACTTCTCAGCACTGATGACTTTCCATTGGTTTACAAGTATGTACTTACATCATTTACATGGTCCAGTAATATCAGTGTTTTTGTTTTACACAATTACAGGATTTGTCAATGCTATATTTTGAACACTTTATTTATTATTATATATTTATTGATGATAAATAATATGTGAAGGTCATGTGAATATAAAATCAGTGGTATATTACAAAAATGAAGAAAATTAAAGTCAATCAGTTGTACAACTGATATTAGAAATTAGTTGTGAGAGGTTGAAAAACCATTGAGAAGAAATTTGAATTACATGAAACTCATAGGCCTGACAAATAAGTGGATATAATAACCAATTTGAATCCCTGTGGACTAAAATTGACTATAGATTTTTGACTTTATAATATCAAGACTAAAGAAAATACCCCTGCTTTTGTAAATGCTTGAGTGATGGAATTTGGTTGGTTTACTACACAGTTTGTAAATGTTCTTTACACATGGTAGGTATATGTTTGCAGCCAAAGATGGTTGTGTTGGGTAAAGTGTTTTCACTGGTTTCTGATCACTTTTCAGTACAAAATCACACTATTCACCATGTATGTGAAAATGTTTGCAAAGTATCAATAAATACAACAGGAGCAGATGGATGATAGATGATGATTTAAATATATTTTTTTCACACTCGGACGAGTACAACTGTTGATATTCTTGAAGTGATGAAACCATTTTCACATTTTTTTGTTATTTGTTGAAAAAGAGAAGGTCAGTACAAATCTTTAGGGTCACATTCAGATCTCTATAAAAGAAAAGTTGATTATTTATTAAAGCTAATATTTGATATTCCAGCAAAATCTCAGACCATTTGATTGGACTTTTATATGAACATTTCTTGGATGTTGGGAGTAATTTATTTGTTATAAAAGAAGTAGTTCCTGGCAGTTATCAATTTAGCTGATTTGAGGCTCCCTGAAGTGGCACAATTTACAAGATCTTGGCTGTTTATATTGTTTTACATCAATCTGGCTACAAGGACCATGCACCATCCTCAAATATTTTAGGGTGTTCTTTTCTAGGTATAGCAACAAATTCCAAGACCAGTTTGTCACATAGACTAATTATACAGTGACTAACTGATGCATTTTGGTAAAATTGTTGTCACATTATCAACGCAGCATCACCTAATCTATGATGTTATATTTGTGTGCAATGAATAAAATACAAAATAAAATTTTTTGAACAGCTACATGGGAACAGGTGAGGACCAAACTATGTGTGACATTGAAAAGGATAGGATATAAGCGCTTAAAACTATTCTATAACTATTATGAAGATTTTCTGTAAGAAATTCTATGTAATATTCAGTCTACAACAAAATAATTTGGCAAAATTATAATTTTTTAAATGTAGTTTTTTCTAACAGGAAAACAATGGATATGAAGGGAGAGAGTTATGAAGCTATTTTGGAGAAGAGTCCAGGCTTCAATAACCCCAACTGCGTCCAATATCTCTCTGAACTTCTTGGCATTGCAAACATGCACTGTACCAACTTTGCATCATTGAGGTAATCTTGGCCTTTAAATCATGTTTCTACTATATTTTGCAGTAATTCCTAAAATAATGTAATTGTTTTTATTATCAGGGGAGGATTTGCGCCTTCGGAATGTGTGGATGAACTTCGTCAGGCTCAAGCTAGCAAGTGGGCATTCCGTTCAGTTGCTGAAGGCATTGAACATTTCAAGGCAGGAAGACATTCTGAAGCTTTCCAGTGCCTCAACAAAGCGTTGAGCATAGATCCAAGAAATGTAGAGGGGTTAGTAGCCAGAGGAGCTTTATATGCAAATAGTGGGACATTCAAAAAAGCCATAGAAGATTTTGAGACTTCATTAAAATTAAATCCAAATCATGCTAATGCAAGAAAGTACCTTGGTGAAACGTTGGTTGCATTAGGCCGCAGTTATGAAGATGAAAACAAGATTACTGAAGCTCAAAAAGCTTACGAAGATTGCTTAGCTATCATACCGTTTCATGAAGAAGCACAGAATTCATTAGATTTCCTCAAAAGCAAAACATCTACAACTAAACCTTTGATAGAACCGGCTGAGTTGCTACTCCCTGGTTTGACGGGAGCAAAGTCTTTTGAAATGAAGGAGACACTGAAGCAATTATTAAATCTAACTGAAAAAAAGGATAAGAAAAAGAAGAAAAAGCGTGGAAAAGGCAAAAAGAAGAGATCAAGCAGCTCATCATCATCATCAAGTGATTCATCCAGTTCTAGTTCATCATCAGAATCTTCGTCGTCTTCGTCTGAAACTAGTGGTAATATAATACTCTTGTTACTTTTACATGAAACCACAAATTCTATGATCTTTTGTATTTCGTCCATAATACAAGAACTGGACCAGCAATCAATGTATAATTATGTAAAATTCATCAAATGTTCTATCTGATATATTATATTCTCATGTTTCAGTTTCAATTACCATACATACTCATTTCACTTCATAAAAAATGAAGGTTTATATGTATAATAAGTACGTCAGAGAATAGGTTGTTATCTATTTTTATACCCTACCCTAAGTGATAAAAGTGATTCACCCCAAATTTATATGGCAAAATGTTTTCCGAAATTGTTGCTAATTGTATTTATTATGTTGTTAGAAAATTATACTTTTGGTAAACTAAGCTTAACTGTGTGCAGTAACACATTTTGGAATCTCACTCACAAAATGGTAATAAGACAGTATATCATCTTTTACCGCGAATTATAAAAAAATAGCTTCGATGTTCTTTTATTACTTAAATGATTCATAATGTAAAAAATACAGACTCGGAGGGACCAAACCGTAAGAAGAAACGTCGCTCGCAGTCTAACAACAAAAGGCAGCGTTCTCTATCTCCATTGAGCAAGCGTATGGCGATGCTCGGCGAGGCGGATTCTGCGTCGCGTACGCATAACTCGCAGTTTAACCATCCTTACGGATATCAACCGCCTCCGCCGCCTGTCGAGGAGAACCACATACAACCAATGCGGTCTCAAGCTGATATCGACTATGAGTTAAAGGTATATATTAATCAATCACATTCTAAAGATTTAAATTATTTTATTTTATTAATAATTTTTGTGCCACTCTTGACTTATCTGATCATATGATAAATCTTCGCTGCGTTCTAGCTAAAAGCTAAATTCACTCTCAGATTCAGATACTAATAGTTCTATAAATTTATGAGCAAATTAATAGAACATTTATTCTAAAAAAATTTTCGATATCTTGATCTATTTATATTGAATAACTAAAAATTATTATTAAACATTATTTGATATGATAATTAATTTTTGGTCAGCCATCCTATGACCGGTCCTTGCGAAAGTATTGATAAAATCTTGTTATTGCTAGGTTCGAAAATTCTTAGAAATGACCAAAGAAGATTCAGACTATGAAGACAAAGTTCGTAATTTCTTAGAAGAAACTGCTCAGTACAAGAGGAATCGTAAAATGCAAGAGCTGGGCCAGCAACCACAACCGGGAGCCGAGCATGACAAGAAAAAAAAGAAAAAGAAAGATAAGTCGGTACCATTTTATATTTACAAGTGTATCATTGTAACCCATTATCCCATAGTATTTCAGTAGCTGTTAGAATATTTTATCAACACACAACTATCTAAATAAAGAAACAGGCAAAATCGCAAATGGATAGCATTTAACCTCATCTTGGATTTGTAACTGGTTTAGTAGTATGATATCATACCATATATCAACCATCGGTAAATCAGGAACTCTTTTTATTTTAATTATATATATTTACTTATTTCATTTTCAATAAAGTAATCATCTAAGCTATACTAATAATATAAAGGGGAAAGATTTGATTGTTTGTTTGCATTGAATAGGCTCCGAACTACTGAAACTATTTTAAAAATTCTTTCACCTATGAGTAGTTACATCATACAGGGTTAACATAGGCTGTAATTTACGCGTGCGAAGTCGCGGGAAAACAGCTACTAATACAATAAATTGTAACAAGACAACTTAATCATAATTGTTTAACAAATAGAAATACATTCAAATTTCAATAAAAACATCAAGAATTGTTTAATTGTGTCATTTTCTTTCTTTACTGGATAAATATACTGCTGTCTTTAACACAATAGATAACTTAATATATTACAGATTGTATTTTCGTTCGAAACCATTGTTTCAAAGAAAGCAACTGAATAATCACATAAATTTGTTATTTTGACACTTAGAAAATAAAACTGTTCCATTAATATGTCTTCAATTTTGGTTCTTTGTCAGTGATGTACTTGCAAATAACGTAAACGTTTTCTTTAGGAAAAAGAAGAAAGAATCGAAGCGTAAACGCAAAGAGCAAGAAAGAGAAGAAAAAAGGAAGGCGAAGTTGGCGCGCTCTGCCGCTAACAACTCTGAATACAGCCTTCGTGATTTAGAGAGTCTGAGTGATAAAAAACTAAGAGATGCTATAAGGTGATCTACTTTTTTATGACCAAAGTTTTTTCTTATTTTATTTACAAGAAAACTGTAATTTAATAGTTCTATGTTTCACAGAAAAAAATCAAAGAGAGACCTCAGTTCGGACGGGGAATATGACAGAAAACATGGTGACAAAAGGTATGTACTCAAAAAGTCTGTCCTATGTTCCTAGATTGTAATAATTTGCAAATGAAATGACGAACACTAAATTGTGACTTACTTCGACAGGATTTTAGATGATATGCATGGCCTGGAAGAATTGGAGTCTAAGTTGAGTGCATACCATGTTATGGTGGAGAAGGAGGTGTTGGGCAAGCGCGATGGTCGCGGTTCTATCAGTCCCATAGATCAAGCACCACCTCCACCTCTGGAAACGCCAAAGTGGAAGATGTCTATGAGTGCTGTTAAAGATTCGTAAGTCAAGATTTGCGCATTGTTTTGTTTTTCTAAAAATAATTTAAGAAACTGCTGATTGTTAAAATAATTTCATTGATTTAGATGTTTTTATATTATTGATAAATAATATTCATTTCTTTATGAGTTCTTTAATATTATAAATGAAAGTTAAATTAATTTACTTTTGACAGCAGGGTAAAGAAGAAGGAAACGCCAGTACCTAAAGGATACAGGGAACGTTACGCATTCGAAGATAGTTCTGATGACTCTCAAGATGCTAAGGTTAGTGCAAAAACTTTTTTATTTTACACACAACAACCCATAAAGTTACTTCAAAATGTCAAATATCCATGATCAATTTTGTACTTTATTTAAGACGATATCCCGTTAATCAATATGATTTTTTTTTTTTTTACCTTTCTATATCGGTAGAACAAGTTTCCGGTAGAAACTAGTGCAATTATTGTCGCTGATAATGGGTATGGTATTATACAGCCGGCGCCGGGCGATAAAAATGTATCGGTGCGTCGTGCGATGGCGATGAAAGAGTTGCCGCCGCTGCCCAGCGCGCCGCCGCCCGGCAAGTCGCGCGAACCAGACCCGCCCGGCACTGAACCATCGCACCCGCCGGTATGTTAAAACAACTATTTTAGACATTTTATATAGAGAAATAAGCTTTCCGCTAGAGTGGTCTTGCCCGTTTTTGCTACATTTTTCATTGCTCTTCACTCCCATTAGTCATAGCGTGATGTCATAGACAAGAGAAATAATCATTCAATTTGATTCCTGAAATTAATGCATTCAACCAAACCAGCAAACTTCAATTTTATATGATTAGTATAGATAAATGATTTTAAATATATTGTTTATCTATCATCTGATGAGTCAATGAGACATATAAAAAAGAAATCTTATCGTATTTACATTGAGCTAATTTACAAATAACATTACATGGGACTTAAAATCCCACAATTAAATAACCCTAACAATAATTATTAAAATTTTATGCTTAAAGGACCAATGCTTTCATCTTCCTACGCAAATGTAAGATTTTATAGCATTTGCAATAAAAATTAAATTAAAATACCGATGAGACACACCATGTGTCGTATTAGCCGTACATTTGTATCATTTAAAATATCTCAATTTACGAAACTAGGTGCGCAAAGGAAACATAGTGTTAGACAAATTCGGTTCGTTCCGGCTGGCGCAGGAAGGAGAAACTCCTGTATCGGTGGGCGATGGAAGACCGGAACAGTTCGTGACTCGGATCAAACCGCCCTCGCCCACCACTAGACGACCACGATCGCCTCCGTCACCACGACGACGATCGTCCAACTCGTCAGACGACGACAGAAGATCACCTAAAAGGTCACGTAGCAGGTGCGTCCTTACTAACAAGAATAACTAAACCTTTATTCAGTATTTTACTAGAATCAAATCAATATGTTTGCCAGAAGACTGTTACTTAAACAGGTCATTAGCTAATAAATTAAGTCTCTGATATATGTCAGAGGATTTTGGCATCATGAAAAGAAATGCAGGGAAAAACTTGTGTTGAAAATAATAAAAAAATATTTAAGATTAAAAATGACATTGTAATCTTGATGAAATAGTTTCATTCCAGTAATTTATGTAAATTGTGTAGATTTTATTTATACAAAAATGAATCCAATCACGTCTTCCAAAAAAATTGACATTACAAACTATGTTTTATGAATGTGAAACAAAATTTCAAAATCTTTGCTTGTTTTTGCCTGTGCTTTACAAATAATATAACTAACCTAAAGCATTGCTACGTTTTTTAGTCAAGCAATGATTAATTTATGGATTGCATTGATTAACTAACAAATTAGAATTGCATGCATTTTTATTAACTAATTTACCAGACTAGGTGTTAAAATGAATGTTAAAGCAGTCATAATATTTTAATATGAACCTGACTATTTATTGGTCTGTTTTCTTTTCTCAAAATCGTCAAAAAACATTTGGTGAATATAATGTTTTTGTTAGACCATTATTTTTACAAATCCATTTAAAAGCAAAACATTAAAAGTTATTTCGTTGCCTGCTCTTCACTAAGTAGAAAATACAAATCAACGCCTTATACAAAATAAAGAAGAGTGAAAGATCAAGTGCTTTAACCAAATAAATACATATCCAGGTCCCGGCCGCGTAAATACCGCTCCCGCTCGGGGTCCCGGTCCCGTTCGGCGTCGAGCGGCAGCGGATCCGCGGCGTCACGACGCCGACGCTCTGGATCCCCGCGCTCGCGCTCGCGATCCGACGCCAGCCGCTCCTACTACTCGCGGAGCCGCTCTCGCTCAAGGTCCGGATCCAGAGACAGGTGAATATATCAACGGATTTCTTATTTTTGTCACATTTTACAGCCGCCAGGACTCCGTAAGCTATAGAATAAATAAAATCCTGATTTCTTAGCTGAGCAGAATATCATTAAACCATTAATTAACGCATTTAAGATATTGTTTAACAATTTAATTATAAGCTAAGCTTGAAAAAATTTAACAGGTACCTTAACTTTCGTTAAGTTACAAGCCGCTGATAGTACTCCACACTGACCACAGCACTCACCGCTGCCATTATTGGCATTCACTCTCGTCACGCGCAGCAAAACAAACGTACCCAAATTAAACTCAGACTAACAGAGAGTGAAATTCAATTATATGGTAGGCATGGGTGAGAGTGAGCGAGCAATAGTAAAATAGCACTGATATGGTGGACGGATGGATTTGTTTTTGTTTAAGTTTATTTCGTACTAAAGCTATATCGATTAATCATTTATCGTAACCCAAGTCGATTATGACATTACCTCAGTTTTAAGGGGATCTGGTTAAAAAGTTTCGATCGTCTTTGTCGCAGTTCATTTATATTACTGGGAGTAGATTATATAAAATATATTTTTAATAACTATGATATGTTCAACATTCATAAATGTACTTATCTATCATATACTCGAAAATATATAATGGCTGTGTCTCAAATTTAATTTAAATTGATATTTTTAGTGCCGGCGTATGATATAGCATAAAGATGACCGTGATAAAATTAAACAAATTCCATTTGGTGTGATAAATAAAAAAATGGTACTACTGTCTCAGTATGATCGAGAAATAAGGTAAACAATATAGGAGTAATGTGGATTTTATTATACACATATTTATGTGCCAAAAATATTTATGTATTGTATGCATCTAATCAGTATTATTGTTTCTTATGCTGCCCCTTAAAAGAAGCAGGAATCGGCAAATGCAGAAGTAAGAGACAGTGATACTATGTTTATAACAGGAATGCTATTTATAATTATTATATATTGTAAGCATGATGTGTATGGTTATATCGGGTGGAACAAAAGTCATAACGAGGCCGAAAAGTACTTGTTGGGGTCATCAGTTTAGTGCTCGTGAGTATGTTAACATGGTGTACTGCTATGGTATGGCGCATGGAAATCCTTCCGAGGCTTTACAACTATCGGGCTGAATACCCGATTACTAATCACCCTCGCCATCCGAAAGTGATAACTCAAGCTGTACAGCGCCTGCTAGAAAACCAACTAGGGTTGCTCGCTCCCAACAGAGGAGGATCATGAAAATATCTTTATTCAAGTAAGCTTGTTACAAGCACTTTTGAATCGTCCAAAAATTTTTTTTCCCCTACCTCTTGTTCAGGACGTCTTTTAGCTGACAAGAAGAACAAGCGAAAGAAACTTACCGGCTCTTTATCATAAGTAATGACATTTACAAAATCATGTCATTACAAAAATGATATGTATTATCACAATAATAAACACAACTTTCAAAGTCCGTATAGGACATAGTTTGAGGCTAGTTCGTGAGCGGTTATAGGAGATGTTCGGTGACCGGTGAGTGGATTGAGCGGTATGAACGTCACGCATGGCTTGCACGATCGCCTGACCTTACATCTGTCGATTTTTTTCTGTGGGGTTACGTTAAAGATAGGGTAGCATTTTCGACCGTGCTTGCGGAACCGCCGATGAAAATAGCCGAAAAATAATCGCAGTATTTGAGGATCATAAATAGCGGGTTGTGCGAGAGGGAATTCTGAAGCGTGTGCATCGGGACATTTTGAACCATGCTCGTCTATGTCTCCATGTGGAAAGTCGCCAGTTTGAATCACACCACACGCGTAACATGACAAACTCGAGAAACGCTTTGCCTGCAATCATTTGTCAGTTTCTCTGGTCAAAAATGAGATATCGTATGGGCGCACCCGAGAAAAGTGACATTTGAGTGTAGACAAAATGTTCTTGCGTACGTCATGCTACACGTGCTGGTCCGTTTAGAAAGGCCATTGGGTGACGTCGACAAAAAATACCTTGGCGGTTGACAGTGTCATGATCATGTACTGTCGTGTAATACACCTTTGGGTGAGCAGCCCGCATTAATTTGAGAACCGCAAATTATTATTTTCTTTAACTTCAAAAAAAACTTTGTCGTTTCCCAGTTATAGTTTTATATATATGGTACTTATTTTTTGAAAGAAAAAGAAATTGATTTATTCATTGACTATACAAGAAAAACGAAGACAAAAAGGATATAATACTATAATGTCACTGAAAAGGCAGCCATTCAGTATGTGTCGGATGTCTTAGACAGTCGGACGCTGATCTTCCGTGGCAACCTTATATTCTTGAGAGCACCACTATGGCACGCTCACAATGCTCCTAACAATATTTAAATAAAATAAACTAAAAATGCCATATAAGTATATAAAAATATCATAATACGTAACTATTACAACCAATACCTGGCATCACCAATATCTCCTGGCACAAATGTATTTTACATTTAATAGGGGCATGTCAGCCTCTGACTATTGTTAAAACTCATGCTTAACGAAATAAACATTTTTCATTTTCAATACATATATAAATATTCCAATAAGTCACGTGCAGAGCTCCCACCCACACAGAAATTAGAAAGTAGCCCACATTCACAAGGTTTTAGCCTGTTGTAGATTCAGTAAGATTTTTTTTTTAAATTAAATTTAAAACTCCCAATACTATGGCAACTACTTATGAGAGAAGGTATGTTATTCCAACATTTCGTGGCGGAATATCGAAAACTACCACGAAATGCAGCCGTTCTATGTTTTGTACAAAACAGGCGTGAAGCAAGTCGAATCTTCCGTTGTGAGAATGAGAGCTTACCAAATAGATGAGAGGGAGACTGTTTTAATGATTCCAAACAATAAACAAGCAAAGTGAAAAGAACGCCTAGACTGTAAATTCAATAACTTTCCCTTATTCAGATATAGGATAGTATGGGCTATACATGGAACGTTATAACAGAAACGGACAGAAGCATTCATTTTTGTGTATGGAATACACAGTTAATGGCTCGGTGATGATTTTTGTTCCACGCTATATAAGCTATGATTGGAAGATGTCTTAAAAGTTTCTTCATTACAATTCTTATTCCAATGACAAAATTATTACATTTTGGCTAAAAATATGTTTATTGGTTTATTTAATTTTCGTAGTGATCTCGTATTCATAAATATTCTAAACACATTTACAGTGTCCTTGTACACGCAAAGTAGAATTGAAAGCGAAGTGTCATTATTTTTTGCTGGCGTTGTTAGCATTTTTAATTCGCTGTGTCATTGTTTATAATGTAGTAGCAATACGGTTGAAAAACGTCACTGAATCCTCTCCGTCACAGATTCCGTCGTTTCAATCGTCGCGGAAACTGGCGTGGTCGCGGCGGCTACGAGCGCGGCACGTACTATCGGCCGCGGTTCCACACGTACAACGGCGGAGGCGGACGCGGGCGCGGGCGTGGCGGCGGCGGCGACTTCCGACGCGACGACGGCCGACGGTTCCAGCACGAGTGGCGCGACAATCGCTCCAGGGGCGGGAGGCCGTTCAGACCGCGCCGCGGTGGAGGCGGCAGGGGACGACCCTTCAGGTACAACTACCCTACATTCCAACTAGAAATGCGCCGAATATTCGTTTGATAATAGGTATCGGGCATCTTTTTCACTATTTGTATTCGGCCGAATATTCGATTTTGGGGCTGAATAAACATATTCAGTTTGAGTACTTATATTTTCATGGCTACACAAAAAACACTTCATTTGTAAGATTTATGCTATACTAGCTTTCGCCAGCGGGCTTCGCCCGCGTGGTCCCTAGGGAAATGTTTAGTGGGATAATCTATTATCTAAGTCAGCTAATACCCCTATCTGTATACCAAATTTCATCAAAATCCGTTCATTAGTTTCGGCGTGATTGACCGACAAACATCCAACAAAACTTTCACATTTATAATATTAATAGGATTAAAAGTCAAAAAAGTCCTATTAAATAAAAAATATTTACTTTATAAACTCTAGTCAGCATTAAATAAACTTTATTGCCTGAACATTGATTACAATACGTTCACTAAAAGCGGAAAGTAACAAGTGCTTGAAAATCTCGTAAGTTCTGTTGGGTCTAGCGGGTAGCTCAGTGGTTAAACGCTATCTATATATAATTGTCAAATACAAAATGCAATTACGTGTTTTCAAATCTGTTTAAATACCATTTGAGCCCTTATAATAATTATCTCAGTTAACACGAAAGTTATTATTCACAGAGGAGGTTTTAGAGATTTCCGCGACAGGCGAGGCGGAAGATATTCACGGTCACGCAGTCCTGACCGAACACGCAGGTCCCGCTCCTACAGTCCTGAGCGACGTGAAAAAGACAGAGACAGGTAGGCTTTTAATCCTGTTGCAGGAAAATGGAATAATAGTAAATACAGCCTACTTCATTCATGGATTATATCGTAATGTATTATTTTCAGTTACTCTCGCTATTCCGAACGCGACAGTCATCGCAGTGAAGGAGAATATGAAGAAGAAAGATACGTGGATAGAAAAGAATACGACGGAAAGTGGGCTGATGGGAATGAACCAGAAAGACCACCGGCCGAAGAGAAACCCGCCGAACAGCAACAACCCCCCAAAGAATAAGAATTTTTCATTTCTTTGTTTTTAGGTTAAGGAATTTTACTTTTGGGGTGCCAATATGCATAGCACATGGTTTGAAATGATCTAAACACTTCAATATGTTTAGTTTAGTTGTAAATATAGGTTATAATAACACATGCAATTAATTAGTTTTGTTAAGAGTCCATTATTTGAAACCACTAGTAACTATGGTTGATTGTCTACATGTCTTTAATTATTCCTATTCACAATACGTGGACTGTTTATTTGATAACGTTCTATGCTTTTATTTGAAGTGTTTTCTATATTATATTAATGAATATTAACACAAAATTTCATTCCAGCTTTATAAGTGACATGCCATACAAAGTCATTAATGCTATGTTCCTTTATTGTAATTTAGGCAACCGGTTGTAATAATTAATTACTGGTTAATAAATGAACTAAACAAATTATAGAATTTAATTTTCGACACCACCATAACTATAATTTTAAATAAAAGTTACTTAAAAGAGTTCCCTTGACATATCATTCCTTTAAAATCTTCGTTCAACAATACAACTAGATATATGGCCGAAGACATAAATTAAAATTTACAAAAGGACTCCATACTTGCCTAAATAATATACTATATTCTGTGGTATTGTTTTCCTAGGTTGTCGCAGTGTATGTTTTACGGTTTGGTGCCAGTATTTGAGTATCGTTTAAGTATGAGAGGCGTTATCTAGTTGTATTGTTAATCGAAATTTGTAATCAAGGGAAAAAATATTTTGAGTATTGGAAATGAAACTACTCTGATTTAAAACTAGTTCACTCTTAAGTTGCTATTTTATTAGTCTGGCGAACTAGGACAGATAGCAAAGATGCGTGCGTAGTTTTTTAAGGTAAACTCACGTGAGCGACCTCTCCGAAGAACGGGGAATTAACGAATTTAGAATCGTTCTTTTGAAACCTTGGCACTCCCTAATATTTTTAAAAGGACAGATATGATTATATTAGATATGATTAGTGTTTGCATCTGATAGGCTCCGAACCTACTAGACCAATTTTAATAATTCTTTCGCCTACGGGTAGCTACGTCATACGACATATAATAAAGGGGGCGTCCATAAATTACGTGGGATGTTTAAGGGGGGGAGAGGGTCGAGGCCAATCTCATCTAATCTTACGTTGGAGAGAGGGGGGGTCTCGGCAAATATCACGCAATTTTTTTTCTGATTGAAACAAAAAAAAATACTATTTTGGTCCATTTAATCTAGATTGTACATGCTTAAGATTTAATCTTAAGCGTAATCGTATACGATTAAGATCATTCACTAATTCGTTCGAAAGAAAATAATTTCATTCATACTTCGACGCTATACATCTACTGAATGTCAAACCACCATATTTGTAGGGCTCGAACGATACTTTCGATACCGAGTAGGTATCGATACTTTCAAAAGCGATACTCGATACTACAAAAAGGCAAATACTCGCAAGTACTCATCAAATTGCATTTTGAAAAATCTCACGTGAGATTGGGGGATGGGGAAGGGGGTTGAATAAAATCTCACGACATCTCACCAGAGGGGGGGAGGGAGGGACAGAAAATTTAAAAAAACACCTCACGTAATTTATGGACGCCCCCAAAGTACTTTGTGCATACGACTCGTAGAGTATTATTGTTCTGTGATCATACGAGGTTGACTTAAGTTAAAATTAACGCGTGCGAAGTAGCAGGAAAAAAGAACCAAAGAACTAGTATCATATAATTCGTCAGTATCTTCTTTTTTTATAATGACTTATTTGCGCATTTCGCACAATTCTGCCAATGTGAAATTAATAACTTAATTTCTACATGTAAAATGAAATGAATGAAAGATGGCGAGAGAACCGACGGACGCAACGCGTTTTCCTTCAATTATGCCCAGACAGTAAAGATAAATAATAAATATATCTAAACTTCTTGCACAGGCACACAATGGAATTTGAAAGTCTTATGTATGTCAATAAATTATGAGTTACAAATAGTTATACATAGTGACAATGTAAATTAAAGAGATACAGGAAGATCTTATTGTTTCTTTAAGCTAGACGTCTAGGTAGCAGGCACACTAGAAATACGATTTATATTAGTTTGAATTACATATCAGGCTATACAAAACTAAATTTTCTTCACTTGATTTCACTTCACTCATTCATTTTAATTACATAATCATTTTGGCGCCCCCCTGACACTGGCGCCCGGTGCAAGTGCACCCACTCACTCCCCCCTTGATCCGGCCCTTGTGAACAATATTGTATAAGAATAATATAAATAAAGATACTTTCGATATCTTTGTTACTAGGAGATAATCTTTGGTAATACTGATCAGATCAAGAAAATTCTTTCACATACTGGAAGCTAGATACGCGTACCACTGTAATTTACGAAATAGACGGGCGATTTAAATGATACGAAGACATACTGAATTAAGGATCTGCCTCATTACAATTTCCAAAATAAACTATGTTGTTGAAACAAAGTTCTTTGGGCTCTTTTTTTCCGAGTTAACCCCCTACAAAGAATAATGAGATTGTTTTAGCATTTATATTGAGAAATCAGTACCCATTATAAGAACTACTGTAATTATGGTATTATTTGGGTATGTATACCACTAGTAATAATAACGCATGATTCAAATTAAATTAGTAATTAGCAAAAGTAAATAATTCTATTGAGCAATGGATGTGGTTTAATATTAAAGGCCACTCTAGATTTAATATTAAAGGAAAAAATAACAATTTAAATCTTATAATTAGTGTCTATATTTCAAATTGATTTAAAGACAAAGTTTATGAACAAGTTTATGTTCGTTTCTTTTTCTTCTTATTAACATTCTTATTAGGTTTTCCAACATTCCAATACCAAAATAATTGTAGTACTAATGCACCATTAGCAATTGTTGAGACACAGTATGTGAGAATGATTATTGAATCTCCCGTTTCTTGAACAGATGTGAAAATTCTTGCTATGCTGCCACCTAATAATAAAAAGCAGGTAACTGCTGACAATTGACCAGTACTCCCATTCTTGTAATTGGTTAATACTTGGATTGACTGTAACAAAAATATATATAGATAAACACATGCATGGCTCAGATCCCAAAGTAGTTTTATGAACTTGCATAATGAAACACACAAGATATCGCGAAACATTCGTTCAATACATAAAATATACCTAGACCTAAACATGAATTTTCTAATGAAAATAATTACCTTTGCCAGTAATATAATAGGAACATTAAAAGCTTGCATATTCCACAATAGAGGGATGGGAGTGTATCCACTAATGAGTATGGACACCAATCCCACATATGTTGCTAAAAACAGTGTGGCCTTCGCAGGAGATCCACCATAATGCAAGACAAGTACTGCAATTATAGCCGTTTGTACAGCTAAAAATGTACCTTCACCCCATGCACTGAAAAAAGTGCGTAAACATTATTAAGATAATAAAAATCTAACTTTTATACAGTTACAAGACAAATTTAAATAAAATCAAAATATTCTTATATTTACCTAAATGGAAAACCCATAATATAACTATATGCAAAGTTGGCAGTAATCGCAAATATTTCCAGGTAAACTCCATAAATATTTATTCCCTCAGCACTCTTACTGCTCAGAATTTTCAAAATCTGTGGGACTTTGACCAGTATTGATCCAGCGATTATGCCGATACCGAGACCTTTGCTCAAAGTGGATTTAAAGCATGGTACTGAAAAATTATAATTCAAATAACATTACATATCTATAAAATATTCTTAACCATGTAAAATATTTTTTGCACATTTACATACCATCAAGAAAGTTATATTTATTGAAATATTCATCGTAACACTTTTCCGATAAAAGTGTCAGAAATAGACCTTTTAAAAATTCAGTCATTTTAGTTTAGGTAATTAACTCAATCGATATAACACTAAACAAAAAAAATCAAAGAACCATAACTTTATAAGTTTTCGATTCAGTAACACCTTTAGATCAATGATTAACTGGCTACGAAGAAGGAAGTACCACAAATTAATAAGGTTTTTTTTTTTGTTGGAGATACTGATACTACGGAGTAATGGTGTTTAAATTAGCGTCCAGCGTGTTAATTAACACGCTTTTCTCTCTTAACGATTAACACTGCTAAGTAGGTATACGCGAAAGCACTAAAATTTCACCCGCTAACACGATTCACGCGTGAAATTTCAAAACGATTCAACGAACGAACGAAACGAGACCGCGGCCGGCTGCGCAGTTAACGCGTGAGCGCGATCATTGGCAGATGTGTCATTGCTTAAAGCACACTAAGTAGGTAATTATTACGCGTGAACCTATCGTCTGTGTTTTAAAACGCTTACAAAGCTTACTAAGACGATATTTGTGTTATTATGTGTATGTTTGAAGAAATTTGTGTGTGTGTAAATAGATTATAAACGGTTGTTTAAAACAATTATATTGTGAATAAATAATGTGAATAAGATATTTGATAGCAAATGTACAAACTATGTTTTTTTAATGATGTACATAAAATCTATGAACTTTAAGTAAGTGCCAAGGTGCCAAGGATCCAGGAAGCGTCGTCGATGCTGCGCTGTGATGGACTTTTGGTTGGCTGGATTGCTGCTGAAGTGGCTGTGCTGATGAGGGATGAGAAGCTGATGATGAAGAGTGAGAGACTGTTGATGAAGAGTGATGGCTGCGTTGTGATGCTGAAGGATGTTCTGCTGTGGTCACCACTGTAGGAACCGTTGTGGTTGAAGTGTTGGTCCTACAGTGATGATGGAGACAACTGGCCAGGGAGACTAAAGGATAATTGTCTCCCTCCGAGCTAGGTGTAGTTAACCAGGGGACCGCGGTCCAACCAATGTAGGTTGGACGTTCTATTTATGCTAATTGATAATGAAACTTATTCTGTGCGATGAAGGTTTCTTTGTTCTAAATGTCTTGAACTTATAATGTTTGTATTGGTACGACACCATCTCATTACTGGGTGTTGAAACTTCTTGCAGTTCGTCTTGATTATTTAATATAGTACGTAATCTGTTTAACGTACAACATAAAATAATTAACGTGTTATAAGGTTTAGCGTGCTACAAAATTTAACGAGTCTTCACGCACTCTTACGCTTCTTTGAATTAAGGCTTTGTAATGGTGTGCCGTACCACCGTTTATTTCGTCTTAGGATTCAGTTTGCAAACTATTTGTCTTTGATATTCAACATCATTTCTTTTTATTATTCACCTTTCGTAATTTGAAATTTTGACATATCAAAATATACTCTTTATGAATGCCAGTTTGTAAGAAAAATTATCTGTTGTAAATATCTAAATCACACATTTTGTAACTGGCATAAATTTAAACATAAAATTTTATTAATGAAGTTTTGTGATTAAAATAAAAATTATATAATATAACTAATAAAAGTATATCCTGAAACTTCGACGATTCAAGTTTTTATTAAGAAACCCAAAAAGGGGTGTGTATTTGTTTTATTTAGCAATTTTATATTTAGTTTAACATACGAACTGTTTTTATATTCATTTTTTTGTTTGTTACAGTTTCTTTTCTTTACCATAAAATAAATCCGTTCTCAAGCTAGTCAGCCTTTTATTTGCCCAAGCATCGAACCCGTCACAGCTTTAAACAATTAGCGCCTTCATTAACACGTTAAAAAAATATCGTTAGTCTTTAGCGCGTTAATGATTTTTCAAAACCACATTTGAACACCTCTGGTTAGGAGTACTATTATTCTATGGGTGACTGACACCAAAGACACCAACGAATTCAACAGTCATTAAACAAATGTCACTGTCGTGTTAATATATACACGTCACTCGTTAGTGATGTGTTATGTCAGGTTATGCGGTACCTACCTAGCTATTATAGGGGGTATGTTCCGAATACACTGCGACCACTGAACAGAATACACTGCGACCACTGAACAGTATGACGTCAATTTAGTATACTGGAAGCCCGTTCCTTTATAGCTAGTTATACTTTTAAAACGGAACGCAGTCAAGTATACTGTTAATCCTATTTTTGGGCGCCATTTTCAAATTTGTTAATGCAAGGTGAATATAAATATAAAGATTCCCTCTTTTCAAAAGAAAATTGGAAAATTGTATAAAAAAATTATTTATCAATTAAATCCATCTTATAAATAAACGTAAGTATTTTTTTTTTGTTTATTTAAAAACTTATCATTTTCTGATTCTATTTCGACTGATCACGTGATCATAAGCACTGCGAGCACCTTACCTCGAAATCTCCAGTGCTCACAGTACAAATATGGCGACAATTTATGACGTCATAAATTTCCCTAGGGTACTGTAGCAGTGTACTGGCAGTCCATAACGGAACGGATTTTTCAGCAGTAAGACCACTGCGCAGTGCTCGCAGTGTATAACGGAACATACCCAGGGTATTTGTCAAGGGCATTTGACACTTTTTGAAAACTATTTTAAATAGTTGTTTTTTATATTACAAATACTCTATGGGATATGGGAATATGGTTTTATTTTCGATGAAAATAATTTTTAAAGTTTAAATAGCCAAAATCGCGCAGAAAACGCTGTCCTATATAATGGCGCTGATTTGTGACCCCAAACGCCGGTAAATATGTGTAAGCGACATAACCTATTCATCAACTATTTATTTACGAAGTACACAAATTCTATTACAGAAGAGAAATTGAAATTAAATTTCATGTTTTGTATCTACTCTGGTTTTTCTATGACTGTTTTGTCTATGAAAATGAGCTACAAATTCTATTTCTAAATACAAATTTTGTGTATCTCTAATAATAACACTGATTTCACAAAACAGCTTCCTGTTTACGTGTGACGTCACATGCCTGTAAACAGAACGTGTTATTGGTTGCTACAACAACAAATTACAGGGTTCGTTGTTCAATAATGAATAAAAATGTTGCATTTTATTTATATATTTTCTGCAGATTCTAAGAAATAAACTTTATTAGATTTCTACCCAACAAGATAACCACAACACGTAACTTATTTTTAATCTATTGACATTTAGATTGGTTTACAGAATTAATTTTAAAAATACTTCCTAATTTGCAGCTACAGGCGCTAGTAAAACGTGAGGTTTTCATTAAATATCAAATAGGTAATATCAGTCGTGCCATTTTGTAAGCGAAATAACAGTAGCCCATGTTCTGTGCTCAGTGCATAGCATAGATATATCTATGAGTAACTAAGTGACCTATACTCTGATTTAGGTTACATAACTATAAAAATTCCAGGCATCGAAAAACTAAAATTAAGCAACAAAAGAAAATTATGAAAATAACAACGTTAGGAAGTTGCACAAACGTCCATTAAAATTATCATTAGTTTCAAATGACATTACAGATACCAATTTGACATTAATTAGAGCTTAAAGGAGTCATTAAGCCTTAATAGACGTTTGTGCAACCATGAAGCTTCTCGTGACGTCAATTCAGTGGAGGATTGACCCTCCACATAGCATGCTAACTTGGGGCAAGTTTGATTTTTCTTTGATTCTAAATTGTTGCGTCAAATATACGAGGCAACAATTTAGAGTGCCAAGTCCTCTCCAGTCCAAAACCTGAAACACGTCCTCCAGTGCGGCAGTAAACAGTTTCGGCGATTTAACATCGCCCTGTTTAGTCCGAAGAGAAGGCGAGGACACGATGATCCTTAAATCCGGCAACCTGGTATATTTCCGGGGGGGAGCGAAGATCTGTCCCAAGGTGGTGTCGGGTTTATCGTCCACAAGCCTCTCGTGAACAATATTGTACAGATCGGAAGTGTATCGAATAGGGTGGCGTACCTTATACTCAGAATCACCGAATGGTATTCGCTGAAGATCATACAGGTTTACGCCCCGACTTCGATGCACCCCGACGAGGAAGTGGAAGCCACGTATGAGGACACTTCTCGGGCAATACATGGTTCCACGATCCTCTACACTGTTGTCATGGGAGACTTCAACGCAAGACTAAGCAAGCGTGGCGATGAGTAGTTGAAGGTGAGGCAATTTGGATCTGGGATCCGAAATCACCGTAGTCAAATGCTAGCCGACTACATGGAGAGGGAAGATATAGAGTCCTATATGATGAACACCTACTACAAAAACGGTTGCATCGAAAGTGGACTTAAAAGAGTCCGGATGGGGTGACAAAAACCGAGATTAACTTCATCATGTCGACTAAGACTCGGATATTCAATGACGTCTCAGTGATCAATTCGTTTAATAGGGGAAGCGATCACTGTATGAAAAGAGGCGCATTGAATCTAAACATAAAAGCCGAACGGTATCGACTGGTGAAGTCTACGCTCCATCCTGAAGCCACCCAGATCCGGGACCCCAAGCACTTTCAGCTCGAACTTCAAAACCGCTTGGATTGCCTGGAGAGCTGCTCGGATATGGACGAATACAATGACGGGGTCGTAGAAGCTGTCCTTAGGGTAGGTTCAAAATTTCTCATACCTCGCCGTACTCAAAAAAGAAGCAAGATCTCGGAGCAAGCTAATAAGCTAAAGATAAGCAAGCTAATCGAAGAAAGGCGTGGCATGGTGCAGTCTTCTGAAGATATTCGTCGGTAACTCAATACACAGAACTCGAAGTCTCTCACACGCGACATACGCCAATTTAATACTCAATGTATTAAGGAGGCAATTGAGCGGAATAAAGGCTCCAAAGTGTTCGCTAGTGATCTGTCTCTCGGTCAGAGCTTGCTGACAAAGCTAAAGACAGAGGACGGCAGAGCCGTTACATCTCGTCCTGAGCTTGTGGAGGAGATCGAACGCTTCTATGGCCAGTTATACGCAATATCCCAAAAACCTGTCATTGAGGCTACAGACCCTACAGCCAAATTAACCCGACATTATACCGAACATCCCGGACGTCAGTCTATATGAGATTAGTGTGGCTCTCAAACTGCTCAAGAACAACAAGGCGCCGAGGGATGACCGAGACACAGCGGAGCTTCTGAATGCGGGTGGACTACCAGTCCAGAAACCGCTTCAGAAGCTATTTAACTCTGCCATACTCGAGAGCAAGACGCCAGAAGCATGGCACAGAGGCGTGGTGGTGCTTTTCTTCAAAAAGGGTGACAGGGTCCAATTGAAGAATTGCAGACCCATCACCCCAGATAGTAATTCAACTTGTTTCTGACTTGCAACAAGTCCTACTCGAACCTACCTCGAATACCTAGCTAGCAGGTACTCGCGTACTCGAGTACCTGGAATACAGGTTAGAAGGCAAATATTACTTTATGTTTACTAAGTTTTAATTAATCTATTGATCATTCAAAAATTTTGGTCCAAAAGCGATTGCGACTTTTAACTCAGACCAACAGCAAAGAGCCTAGCCTAAGAGTCAAAAGTAGTCAATTGGAACGGTTAGTTTCGAATCCCATATTAAGAGCACATTAAACGGCATATTACTTATACAATCTAACAATACTATAAACTGATATCGCGATGCATTAAATGAACAGCGCCATCTATTTTGCAGACTTAGAACTATTCGGGCACCTATGAAGATGATGGGTATGTTACATATAAGTATCTTTGTCATAATAATGTCAAACAATATTGTCGCAAACTTGAAACTTCATATTTAACATAACAATATTGAAGCGAGATTGTCACAAACTTGCCTCGTATATTTGACGCAACAATTTAGAATCAAAGAAAAATCAAACTTGCCCCAGGTTAGAAATGAAATTATCTTTATTCAAGTAGGCTATTTTTTTTATTTTTTTTTAAAAGCCCGGCCTTACAATCTATGGCCGAGCGTCCTAACTACCCCCACAAACTTGCAGGACTTTGTTTGCGAAATTCTCATACATATTTCTTAATTCTATTCTAAGGTGTTACTACCCGTGTCCCCGGGTACTGCTTATACCCTTGTCCAGTTTATTTTATTCTGTACATTACTAGGCCATTACAAGCACTTTTGAATCGTTCAAAAAAAATTTTTTCCCCTACCACTTGTTCAGGACGTCTTTTAGCTGACAAGAAGAACAAGCGAAAGAAACTTACCAGCTTTTTATCATAAGTAATGACATTTACATAAATCATGTCATTACCAAAATAATAGTATTATCACAATAAGAAATACAACTTTCCAAGTCTGTAGGACATAGGTTGAACATATAATTAGACTCTATAGAACAAAGCGAAGGCTATCAACTCCATGCATTGCGATCCTTAAAATAATCATCAACCTTATAATAGCCTTTTCTCATAAGTATATTCTTTACATGAATTTGAAATTTATTTATGGGTAGGTCAATTACATTTTGTGGAACTTTATTGAACATAGCAATACATTTACCCAGAAATGATCCTCTGGTTTTTTGAAGTCTGAAGCTTGGAACGGCAAGTTTATTTTTATTTCTTGTTTTAAGATTATGAACGCTACTTTTTTTTTGAAGGAATCGTAATGTTTTCTTGTGTACATAATATTCTCATAGATGTATTGAGAGGCAACAGTCAGAATATTTATTTCTTTAAATATTTCTCTGAGAGATCCCCTAGACCGTAAATTATATATAGCACGGACATATATAATTACGGTCTCTCTCTCTTTTGTAGAATAAAAATATCCTGAATGCTAGCCGCAGAACCCCACAATAATATACCATACGTCATTACACTATGAAAATAACTAAAATATACCAATCTTGCCGTTTCAACATTTGTCAAGTCTAATTTTCTTAACAGCAAAAGCTGCAGAACTCAGTCTACTTGACAAGCTATCAATATGGGGATCCCATTGCAGTCGGGAATCTAGTGTAATACCAAGGAACTTTGTCGATTCTACTAACTCAACTTTTTCACAATTTACATTTATAAGTGTACTGACATGCCTCACATTAGGTAATGCAAACTTTATGCATTTCGTTTTATTTGAATTGAGCTTTAAATTATTATTATCAAACCACTGTAGAACATTGCCGAGAGCATTATTTAGATCGTCAAAACAATCATTACCCCTCTCAACTTTAAACAGTAAGTAAGTAAGGTGTCATCTGCAAATAATACTGTCTCGCACAAATTCTTCGTAAAGTGAGGAAGATCATTAATATAAATTAGAAAAAGCAATGGTCCTAATACCGATCCCTGAGGTACGCCCATAGTAACTGGTGTCCCTGCAGATTTCGCTTCATTAATTATTACTTTTTAAATTCTAGCAGAAAGATATGATTTTATTAGATTAAGTGAATTTTTTGTCACACCATAATGCTCTAATTTCCCCAACTTGTTATGCTAACGTTGGTCATGAAACACTTCATGACTAACGTTAGCATGCTATCTGGGCTCGCTTCTGTGTCATGTGTACAAGCTGTTTTCGAGAGTCATCACGTAGATTTGACTACTTCTGCCTCCTGAAAAAGCCGGTTTCCGAAAAGGTTACAGTACCATAGAGCACATGCATACGCTGCGACAGGTTATACAGAAGACCGAGGAGTATAATCTGCCACTGTGCTTGGCGTTTGTGGACTATGAGAAAGCCTTTGATTCCGTCGAGACCTGGGCCGTGCTTAGGTCACTCCAAAGGTGCCAAATAGACTATCGATACATCCTACATACATTATTACAGTGATACAGTGACTGCAGCACTTGCAGTCACTGTATGAAAACGCCACCATGTCAGTTCGGCTCTAGGACCAAAACTTGAAAGCAATACGACTTCAGCGTGGAGTGAAACAGGGCGATGTTAAATCGTCGGAACTGTTCACTGCTGCACTGGAGGACGTGGTTAAGCTTTTGGACTGGAGAGGACTTGGCATCAATATAAACGGCGAATACATGACGCACCATCGTTTCGCTTATGATATCGTAGTCATGGCTGAGACCATGGAAGATCTAGGTACAATGCTCGAAGACCTCTGTGGAGTTTCCCAGCAAATGGGTCTTAAAATGAACATGGAGAAGACAAAAATAATTATATGACTGATCTGAGACGTGACCGCTTACGATGGGCCTCATAAGGAAGCTCAATGTCGCTCAGAGGGCAATGGAAAGAGCTATACTTGGGGTTTCTTTGCGAGATCGAATCAGAAATGATGAGATCCGCAGAAGAACGAAAGTCACCGACATAGCCCAAAGAATTGCGAAGCTCAAGTGGCAGTGGGCAGGGTGCATCGCCCGCAGGACTGACGGCCGTTGGGGTTGTAAGGTCCTCGAGTGGCGACCGCGTAACGGGAGACGCAGTGTTGGTAGGTCCCCCCACAAGGTGGACCGACGATCTGGTGAAGGTCGCGGGAGCGCTGGACCGATCGCTTTGGAGATCTTTGAGGAAGGTCTATGCGCAGCAGTGGGCGTCTCTCGGCTGAAATGATGATGATGACGATGATGACAATGTTCACCATGGGTCACGTTATAATTAAATGAAGTAAATAAAAAACGTCAGAATTCGTTATTTTTATGAATTTTATTTCTAAATTATTGAATAACACGGAAGTTTGAAGGTAAAAAAAACTATTACGTACCTACCTATTAACTATTTAAACAAGATGACGATGATGAAAAATGTTTTTATAATAAGTAATCATGAAAAGGAAATCTGACTATCTGTTTTAGTCATTATGAGGTCAATAAACTCTGAAAGAATCAAAATAATTTATTGATTTACCTATTGATGACTTCAATACTGAGACGCAAGGCACACCCTGTTACTGGATAGCAAGTAAGAGTTAAACGCACAGTAAAAGCGATTTTCTTTTGATATTCCATCATGTACTTGACCAACTCATGCACTGGTCACTTAAAGCTAACAACAAATAATTTCATATGAGAAAACATGTTCTTGAGATACTTCTTATACAGATTTTAATTAAGATATCTCATCAGAATATTATTTTATTAAGACAGAACCTAAAACGAGGTTTCTTCGTTAGTCCAAAGGCTCCAGCGGCTCCACCGCTTAACTCAAGCGTCTGAATGCACTATCAGACTGACAGACAATTCATTTAATTTGACAGATCAGTCAGTTACGCGGTAGGCCTTCTGGGCCAAGCTTATTCCGCCATAAATCTATGTTTAATCTTATCTAAGACAGTTACGTACCGCTTGTTACAAACTAATTTACAAACAATATTATTTACAAAAAGTTTTAACTAAAACATATTTCTTTGAAACGTATTCTATTCGAATAAGATACAGGCGCTTTGAGGCATCGATAGAAAAACTCTTATTTAAATAAAACGTATGAAACATATAATAATATACTACAGCTATATAGATATATACAAAGCGAGTCAAATAAATACACTTGAATATTTGGTAAATCGTTTGAATAAAGTAACTATAGTACAGTAAGTTACAACTACATTTGCCAAAGACGATAATGACCGAACGTAAGATTAAAACTTAAAGTGAGACTTGTTTCAGTAAGCATAAGGTATAAAAGATAACGTAGGTTTCGTCTCATTCATACTCAGCGTGAGTTATGCGCGTGCATATTGTTGGTTTGTCCGATAGCGTGATAATTTAAGTATTCTAATTGGCCGACATTTGCCGCGCTTCAAAATTTAGCCTTCTGCGCAAGTACATCAGTGAGACACATCAGTTGTATCTTACTGTAACAGTTATAAAACATTCACAACAGGATGATGACTGGGTAAAAAAAAATCTATTTAGTCCTGAAGATAATAGAAAAATAATAGGTTTTTTTTTGCTTCAATTTAACAAGAAATTGTTTAGATAATAGGCATAAGTTGAGGAGGCTCGCTACGTCATAGTTTTGTTGAAAGTCATGTGATATTTTAACACAATATATCTTCATAATTTATTGATTACGCAAAAAATACGTTTTTATATTTTTAAATAATCTACCTGATGGATAAACAAGCAAAACTCAGTCATCATCCCTACTATACCTGTCATAAATAAGCAAAATTTAGGTAGCGAAAATTTTCTCTAATGCATTATATACAAATACATGTCACAATATTTAACGAGAATCCTTAAATATAATGAGTATGCTAATGGAAAATAGGTTGTTGTTCTATTCCAAAACTTATTTGTGGTTAGCAGTCAATTTTTATTAAATTTTGAAGTCTATTATGAAGCACTTTAAAGTTTAAAACAAATATAAAGTTCTGCTCACTGATGATTTTCATAAGAAAATCATAATTTATTTACTATGTAAATTTTTAAAACAATTTTTTTTTTATTTAAAGCAAAAATTAAGTAGTATCTCATTAGTTCTGCTTACCAATATAATAATAATTCTAGCTACTCTTGATAAAAAAATATATGATAATTTATTGGTGTATGAACAATTTTCTTTAAAGGTAGATCTTTTTATTTATGACTTACAAATCTTTTAACGGCATGGTGGTTGTTTGGAAAGAAATAACTTCATATACATTTTATACACACTGTATGGTAAAGCCTGATCTACATTTCAATGTATACAGTGTATTGATAATTTACTTCTGGCTAACTAGCCAGAAGTAAATTAGTTAAAACTGTAAAAACTGTAAAAAAAGATAATAGTTAAAACTGAACTCAGTTTTAACTATTATCTGAACATCAAAAAGAACTCAATTTGTCAGAGAGTTAACTCACTTATGTACTTATTAAACTGTCTATCGGGTTTTAGTCTGTGGTGAAGACTAGTCCACAGATTTAAATAATGATAGTTGTACTAGAAATGAAAAAAAAAACTGAATCAATATCGAAAGTATCACATCTGCTATAAATGCAGAATACTGGTTTATGGGTTCAATTTCAAGGACTTTTTTTTTTGTTTTAACCAATGGATCTGACCTGATCCCAGATGCACATATTAAGACCTGTACTTGTCCTAGGAAAAATTGACATATCAACACAGACACAGAACGACAGATTGGAAACTCTAGAAAAAGTTTTAACTTAATCATGTTCTTAAAATACCAAGAAAGAAAATTAATTTGATTGCATATAGACAAACAGTTATCAATTACTACAGCTAATTTATGTGTGCATAATTTTGTCATTTCATAACCAACATAATTGAAATGAAGTTAATTTTGTCTTTGATTCAGACTCAAAATAGGACTTATATATACAAGAGGCTCCTTTGCTAATATAATGACACTATATGTAACAAATTTCGTTAATAAGCATAAGTATAATAGATACATCATAATAATTTGCGAGACATCTAATTTTAAATAAAATATAATAATTACACATCCAATTTTTAGAGTTCTTATTGCAACATTTGTACTGTATCGTAATTACTCATGATAGTGGTTTTAAAGAAAACGACAGTTTTGGTCGTGAATTATTTTTGCCTAGGATTTTCTTTTGTTCTTCTTTGACTCTTTTCTCCTGTTCCTTTTTCAATTTCTGCCTCTCTTCATCCATTTTTCTTTGTTCTTCGATCATTGCTAACCGTTCTTCAGCCTAGAAAACATTGTTTACATAATGATAATTTTTTTGTAGATTGATTACTAACGGCCAGTTGCACAAACATCCATTAAGGTTTAATGACGCCTTTAAGCTCTAATGATTGTCAAATTTGTATGGGTAATGTCGCTTTAAACTAATGAAACTTTTAATGAACCTTTGTGCAACCGGTTGTAAATGATTTAGTAGTCAAGTGGTTCACACTAAAGGGTTTAGCCGGATACGTATGACGAGTCGGCCCCCAAATGGGAATCGATATTGAAACTTATGTTTTAATATCGACTTGATGTTCAAACATGATTTATGTACTTTTCGCGACCGACTTCCGCTTTGACCTTGAGATAGAGAGCAAAATATCCGTATGCTTGACTATTACTGAATGTGATATATCTCTAAAGCTAATTAAGATAAAGAAGTGAAACTAACGCGAGGTGTTAGGTTACATTACAGAGTATATCACATATATTTTTTTATAATTTTTAGAATAAAAAATTACATTAAGAAAATAAAAAATAAAAAAATCATGTTTTTTTTTCTGAGTTCTCTGTGACTTACAATCACGAAATTAATATATGTTATGCTCCTTTGTGTGCTCTATTACCCATAAAAATTGCGTGAAAAAAAAGTTGGTGCAACACAACGAAAAAAAATTATATGTGATTTCTGTCTTATGGTATACCCCTGTATTATAAGGTTTTCACATTACATCATTGTTTTTTTTTCGAATTTCACATCAGCTTGTTTTAAAACATAAGTAACTAGTCTTAAGAGATGGGATAATAGTTAAAAAACAAATGAAAAAAAAAACAGCCAGTGTTCAATACTTATTATTATTACTTTTTCGTGTCTATCAAAATACAAGAAACAAAATATTAATCATCGTCACTGTTGTAATTAATTACAATCGGAACACTTTGAGTCGCAAATAACTTAGTTAGGACCTCAGCAGGACGTACGATTTTGGACAAATATCATCCATATGATAGATAATAAATAATAGCTGCTACATGAGAACAGCATCCCACTGTACGTTTGCCATTGGGGCAATCACAGCAATAACGAAGAATACTATTGTAGTCATTACCTTCGGAAATATAGTGAATGTAAATTCGATAGACTTTTCTATTTATATGTCTTGATTTTACTTCTGCTTTGATGATATTAGGTGCTGATTTCACATATTGTACTGAGAGATTATTTTGATCGTCCATTATTTCGGCCAAGTTAAATGCTGCACATTTAGAAGTAGAAGCTTTTTTGTTAATATATGGGATAAGTCGACACTTCTTACAAAAAATATCATTAACTATTACGATTTTATTCAAACAGTCACTAAACACTTTAGCTTCTTCTTCATTCTTTATAATTTTTTTATAACCAGGAATCTTACACAGGTACTTGTTACAATTTTTACACTTTCTCGACATTATTACTTAATAATGATTTGGTTCGATAGTTAATAATTTCAAAATGCTGATACAATATACCTTTGACAGAATTTGAGTCCCAAACTGCCTTCTTGTGTAATACAAATGACTGCTACTTTAGCTAAACAAACGATGCAGTAAACAGCTCGATAACAAGTTCGAACTTGTTTGTTTATACACTCACACTACAAGGCGCGAATCACATATAATTTTTTTTCGTTGTGTTGCACCAACTTTTTTTTCACGCAATTTTTATGGGTGATAGAGCACACAAAGGAGCATAACATATATTAATTTCGTGATTGTAAGTCACAGAGAACTCAGAAAAAAAAACAAGTTTTTTTTTATTTTTATTTTTTTAATGTAATTTTTTATTCTAAAAATTATAAAAAAATATATGTGATATACTCTCTAATGTAACCTAACACCTCGCGTTAGTTTCACTTCTTTATCTTAATTAGCTTCAGAGATATATCACATTCAGTAATAGTCAAGCATACGGATATTTTGCTCTCTATCTCAAGGTCAAAGCGGAAGTCGGTCGCGAAAAGTACATAAATCGTGTTTGAACATCAAGTCGATATTAAAACATAAGTTTCAATATCGATTCCCATTTGGGGGCCGACTCGTCATACGTATCCGGCTAAACCCTTTGGAATCTGAGGAACATGTGTGATGTTGCGTAATATCATTATGCATGAAGCAAAACTTTGAACTCTTTTTTATTAAGATTGGGCGGAACAAATGTAAAATTTTGCACACTTAGTTTTATGGAAAGGAAGTGCATAATGACATTTTTTTTAAATAATGCTGAATGAAACAATATATTTTAAGAAAAATATGCAACACACACAAGCATAGCCGGTCATTAGAGAACTTTCAGTATGGTATCAATCAACACACTACATCATTCTCAGAATTAAGTTATTTATTTACAACATTGCACATATTGTCATATAAGGAAATTAATTGTGAATTCTATGGGTTCTATGGGGATTTAAGGGCGCCGTACGCTGGAAAACAGGATGTCTTTTCCTATTTCGGTAACAAAGGAGTAATTTAAGTTGTTGTTATTGTAATATTCCTACTTTATATATAATAATAATAAAAATATTCTATCTGATCAAGAGCGATACAATATGTTTGAATAGGTAATTCATGGTAATTTTGGCAAATTGGATGATCAATAGTAATTATAACTAATTATTGTTATAATTAACTGTGTATTTATTATTATAATTAACAGTCAATACATACCAGCTTTTGATGTGCTTCTTCAATTTTTTTATTGTTTTCAGCCATGATTTCTTCCAGTTCTTTCCTTTTACGTGCTTCTTCCTCCTGTATAATAGAAAACATATGTTAACACCATTTCATTAAAGACTATATCAAATCACAATATTTAAAATGTTACAATATACTTAAAACATTTATGTAACAAAACACCATATTTGAAATTTATTATGTTTATATTATTTTTATAAACCAAAAGGTGTGTCAAAATCGGCATATTATAACAAACAAACTGTTTTCTTCCGATCAGGGTCAATATGTTCAATTATTATAGAGATAAATTTGATTTTTTTATATCAGTCATAATAGTGCTTTCAATCCTATCAATACAGACATTACATCAAAAAAATGTATATATTAGTTTTTGTGTCGTATTGCAGTTGCCTAATACGGTTCCACAAAAGAATATTGTTTTACAAAAAATAGGTTCAAAAAATACCTTCTGCGTTCACCACAGGATCCTCAAGCAGCATCTCCATAAAATTCTTACAGCTTCTGGCTCTTGAGCAGTCTTCCGACCTGACTTATAGACTACGTGACTGCCAAGGACAGTCAAGCGAACAATTTTAAAATGCTAGCCGATAGCCCTCAAGGCATTTGTGTATACGTAAGAAATAGTATACGGTAGAAATAGACAACCCCCATCAGTATGAACATGCAATCAATGTAGTATGAATAGGTGCCAAATCGATATGAGGATTCAACCTCAGTGAGTGACTATAGAATTTAAGAAACAAATTCTTGTAAACACTCGAACTACACCTGACTGGACCTTTAACAGATATCATCGAAATATACTTTTATTAGTTTCTCTTGTATATATAGTTGGTATTATGCATTGATACATACACTAAGTGTGTTTAGAGGATGCGAGAACAAATCAGATTGTTTTCGCATGGAAAAATATTTTGTCATGTGTAGAAGCAATCATTAGCGAGTATTGCCTTTGCACATGACTGGTAGGTGAAGATGTCAGTTACCTGACGGGCTAGCTCCTTCCTCCTCTGTTGTTCTCGTTGTCTCTCCAGCTCTTCCATCATCTCTTTTTCCATTTTTCTCTTGGCCTCTTCGACACGTTTTGCGACTTCTTGTTCAATTTCATCTTTTCTTTTTTCTAATTCCTCTTCTACACGCTTCTTGACAAGCAACTCTATTCTTTTTGCTGCTTCTTCTTCAACCACCTATAATAGTCAAAATAAAAAGTGGTATATCATTACAATTTCTTCTTAATTTTAATGGCACTTTGCGTCCCTACAATACTGCCAACTTTACGAAAGACACCATTACACTATTTAAATACAGTCATCAAATCAACCAAACAATTTTGAATTACCAATTCTTTTTTTTTTACATGGATTTACCAAAAACAACTCTTTAAACGATTTAATTATGTTAATTAAGTAATAATTTTATATAAGAAATAATTCAATAACATCATTACAATTTATAGAATGGTTGAAATTTTGAAATAAGTATTCACGTTTATTTTTTTCATGGCCTTGTTCAGTTGTACACAGAAATTCTACCAACATCCCGTAGTGAGAGAAACACGAGACTCGAGCGACTGAATGGTAAGTACCTATCTATTAAACATTCAAATTACAAATTGTGAATGTCATCATAGAAACATCAAACTAAGTACATACTCACAGATATCACACAGACTTGTCGAGAGATATAAGTTACAGGCCATTAAATTGTGCTATTTTAATAAAGAATCATCTATATTTCATTTTAAGTACAAATAACCACTGATAATATACATAATTGTTGAAGTTGCCAACAAAAAACACTTTTGGATTGTGGACATATGTCAACAAAAATATTTTGAATACTTTTGTGATCAGTAGCCTAATTTTTAAATCTATCCCAATCACTTTTATACATATAGCGGTTGTGATAGTGATTTATAGAATTGTGTAACTTCTAAAATTATAATTTCTTTCAGAACAAATGATGATTTGAATGATATAGGATTTTTATTTATTTATTTAAAACTTTATTGCAAGAACAGCAAAAGGCGGACTTAATGCCAAAGGGCATTCTCTACCAGTCTACCAGACAGGACGTAGGAGCAAAAAATTGTACGGCAACTAAAGAATGCAAGTTTGAAAAGAAAAAATGTATACCTACAAATCAATAATAAACATACATGATATAAATACATATAAAAATACAATAATACAGCGTGTTTGGTAATACCTGTATAATCCCGAATATGGCACATACGGTATGATGAATAGAACCCAGAAAAATGATCATTAAGACTGAAACCCAGCACATGACCTAGATATTCAGCTTTTTTTCTTCGAAGTAAAACTGTACGCTGACAACCCTAAAAACAGCTGTTGTGTTGTATTTGGTCATCGACTCCATGTGCCGAACTAGTTTAAAAAATAACAGAAGTTAAATAAATCTAAAGATAAATGCCTAGAATAAATATGCATCTGAGAGGAATTTATTATTTCCAAACAAAGAAAAAGTTAGTAGTAAATGACTTTTAACTATAAAAAAACACTAATCTTGTGATTAACGGTGTTTCAAAAACTATTAATATGAAAACTTCTGTAATAATACAGTCAAAATAAAAAAGAAATTGCAAATACTTTGATTGAAGTTCAATATCTGCACCATTGCTCACATTAGTCTATGCAAGAAGGAGCGAGAGAGACATAAAATCGACGACGATGTGTATTTTGAAACTCGGGTTTCTGATGTGTGAGTAAGGTTCTGTAGATTATTTGCTTTGAAGTTTTGTTATTTTTTTCATAAAGCCGTGTTATTTTCACGAAACAATAAAATACGGACTTATACAATGATATTAATAATCTAAGTATCTCTCTTATTCTTAGTTTAAATGATAATTAAATAAAGGTTAGTTGTAATGGAAAGGTCTAATAATTAATAATATTTCTTGACGCGGAACCCCAAAATCGGTACACTTTTGATTTAGGTACATTGGTGTTCGAGTTGCAATAATAATAACCTATGTAGTTTTGGTCATCGCGTCAGTCGCGTCCGTGACTTTCATTGGCGTACTTGTGAGTTTTCAGAATTTAGAAGGTCAACTTACGTTTTCGTTCTTTCGGGACTTTTGGTTTGTTTTTCATTCTCGTTCTGTTTACCTGTGTATTATGTTTGTGTGTGGTCAGTGCAATGAATTCGTACTCAAATGCCTAATATTACGAGATGATAATGTGTGGCGGTGCTTGTGACGGTAATCTTGCTGCGGCTCGGCGGCGTTATGACGAGCGCCACGTGTCAGGAAGACCTGAAAACCATCGACGTCTTCCTTCTTACCGGTGATTCGCGGCATTTGTGAATTGGTTACATACAACTGGTTCATTCCATAGTGTGCCACAGGCAGGCCGGCCGATCACCTATTCCATCGAGACGGAGGATATGACTTTTACGTCGAGAGTAACACGACACGGTCTGTGTCGAGTCGAATGGAGATGTGTGTTTTATGCGGTGGCCGGTATATCGAGACCGTGGACTGATAAAGTGGAGGTGAAGTGTAGGTAATGTTGACAAGTGAAAGCTGAAAGAGTGATTAGAACGCTATAGGTATGTACCTATTTAATCTTAAATTGTTTTAATTACAAGTAAACTCATACGTAGTCGAGTGCGCGCGTCGGCAACATCAAAATGTATTCAAGGAAACGAGAGAGTGAGAGGTAATGAGAGAGAAAGAGAGAGAAAGAGCGAGTGCGCCGGGACGGCACGTGTAAGCTTACAGGGTTGTAGCATAGTAATTGAAAACAAATTGTTCAAATATTTGTATGAAAATAACAATTTACATGAAATAGTTTTTTGACCTATCAATTGTGTTCTTTGTGCTAGGTTGTATGGCCATGTTTCGGGATTATACAGGTATTACCAAACACGCTGTATATACTATATATAATGTCAGTTTACATATGGGAAAACTATGGACTATTTAAACGTCATTGATAATTCAGTTTGTTTTGTTGTTGTTAAATAATTGTTACGATTTTGTATGATTCATACACATAATGTAATAAAAATATTCATACACATAAAAAATCTAAAATCACATAATCACATAAAAAATAGAATGTTACATCATTTCATAATTTTGACAAAATCAAATTTTATGCAGTTAGAGATCTATCTAGAAGGGGCACTTTTGAATTATGTCTAGACCTAGACCTATTTCACTTTCTTCCTTAAACAGAGTATTGCTATTGACTGTCAATAGTATCAAATCTACTCTAAAAATGTATAAAATTGATGTTGATGAGGCGTTTAAAAACTATACCTAGCTGGTATCATTAAATCCCTAAGCTCGTCATGTCATCAGCTGTGCATCATCTGCCCCCTAACCCAGCACTGGAGGAATTCAATTACATAGTGTAATAAATTTTGCAAATTTTGTGGTAGTTGAAAAATATCAATTTAACGAAATAGTTGTAAATGTAAAAGTAATCAAGTAAGTATTCTTAGTATATTTTTTCCAATGTGACAAGTGATTATGTTACTTATAGAATAATAATGATGAGTATTGTTTTGTTTCAAATGTATATTATGTATATACTTACCAAAACTTTATAATAAATAAAGTAAGTAAGAAACATATTTTAAATGTTGAGATTACCCAATAATTTTCAAAGGTATTTGTAACTATGAATTTGCTTAGACAATTCTGATTTATGTCAAATGAATGTAATTGTTCATTCAATATCTTTAAAGAAGAAAATTGCTTTCACATGTCTAATAGTTGTAGTGTAAAGTTCACAAATCTCTTTCAAAAGTCAAATTCAAAATGATTTGTGAAAGATTATTAAGACAATTAGGCCAAAGGAGTGCTTGAGTTTATTTATCGAGTATATTTTGAGTCATATCATATACTGTTCATAATTTATGACTGTATAAAATACTAATGATGCAATTAGTTTACCTTTTGTTCAGCTTCTCTTACACGCCTTTGCCTTTCCATTTCAGCTAGACGGTCAACTTCATCCATTTTACTACGTCCTTTTGACTTCTTTCTGTGACCCCTGCTACCATCATATGAACCACCGCTACTGCTAGAAGACGATACCGAATGAGATCTTTTTCTGCAATAAAATACCAGCAAAACAAAGATGAATATAAACAGATAACCCTACATTTCAATATATTTCTCACTAGTTTTAATAATCTATTAAAGATAATGCGATTTCCACGTTTAAGTTACTAATCATAAATCTATATCAGACTCTTAATATGCGATCGTATGCCTTACCTCGATTTTGAAGTACGTTCCCTAGATTTTTCAGCGTGTTTCGAGTTTCTACTTCGCGATGAAGAACGATCCTTAGAGCGACTCTTCTTTCGGGAGTGTTTACTACTTTTATGATGCCGTCTAGGTGATTTGCTTCGTGATCTAGAGCGTCCCATATTGATATCTCACCAATGCACTTAATTTATATACGTAATGAAAGTATTATTTATTACGAGCAAAATACAAAAATTGCCTAATCAGTTTGACAAGTGGCGATTCACCGATGACAAAATCCAGCGAGAGCAACCGACGCCATTCTCAGAGTTGCCAGTGCATTGTTTTCAAAAGCTACGTAAGGCCGAGAATGCACTTTGATTAAGTGCATACGGTTTAGCGGTAATGAGAAAGTATTAAAAAGAAAACGAAAGCACTAAAAAAGCACCTCCAATGGATGGCGACTCTAGCAAAAGTCAATTTTTGCAGGAAACGAATGGACCAAAGACAGTCATTTCCGTTCCTTTTAACTAACATATTAAAAAACTGAAATTTGAAAAGTTCGATACTTAGATATCAATATAAATACGAAAAAATACAAATAGAATATGTGTTGTTTATTGAGTTTTGAGAATTAATTTACTTTTAAACTTGAAAAAAAAACGGAAAGGTTGTCATGGAGAAATCAAGAACATATGATAGCGACATCTAGTTTGATTTCGGGAACTATTTTTTTTAAATACTTCCACATTAAATAAGCTGTATTAATAATGAGGAAGTATTTAAAAAAATAGTTCCTGAAATCAAACTAGATGTCGCTATCGTACGTTCTTAATTTCTCCATGACAACCCTTCCGGTTTTCTTTCATGTATAAAAATAAATTATAAAATGCTTAAAAAATCCACTTTGTCCCTGGCACAAAGCATTTTTTATTAAGAATATTTTTCAGTATAGCATTGTGAAAGTAGCTCGGTGGCGTAGAGGATTAGCGCCGCGGCCCGCAATTGTTGTTGTTAAGCAACTTTCGCAAGAGTCAGTCACGGGATGGTTGACCAAAAAACTATTATCTTGAGCTACTTCGTTCTTCGGAAGGCAAGTTAAGTCCCGGCTGCATTTGCAGTCGTTAATACCCTCCAATCTGCATTGGGCCAGCGTGGAAGGGCATGGCCTAATTGATTCTTATTATTATATTTGATCAATTTTGCATTCACAATGCTATCATCATCATCATCATCATCCACCTTTAAGTCCTTAACCATCCATAACGAAGGCCTGAGCCCCTGCAGTGGGGACGTAAAAGGGCTGATGATGATGATGATGATAGCATTGTGAACGCAAAATTGATCAAATATAATAATAAGAATAAATTTTCTTTATTGAAAGTTTAAATATTTGTAAAATATTTCTTCTGGCTGTTTCACCTAAACAATTGCCTGACTAAACATGGATGAAAATACACTCTGTAGTACCGACAAAAGTAGCAAGTGTTTGTAAGATTCGTCAGTCCTGTTAGATGCTGGGTAGCTCAGTTATTAGAGCAGTCACTCGGATTGTGAAAGGTTATGGGTCTGAGTCCCAATTCAGAGTGCCGGGGACAAAGTGGAATTTTTAAGCATTTTTCATTAAGAATAAATTTGATTTAGCTTTGTGAATATATCCGTTTATGATAGTTGCTTTTGCTGATGATAATCAGTATTACTGAATTAGCAGAAATCATTTTCATATCTTATTCAACTGACACAACACAAAGTGAGTTTAAATACATTCGAATAAGTGTATGTCGTGGGCCAATCGTTGAATAGGCTGTTGCCCCGCAGAGGAAAAGAAAATTTCTGCTTTATGTTTAAAAAACTGTCAACTTTTAACTCACAAATAGATAACAAAATAAATTTTATGATAGCAATTTGGAAAATATTACGATTAGAAAACTTAAAAAAAAGAACAGGGAAAATATAGTACAAAAATTAGCTAAAATATATATTAAATCAGTTACTTATAAGGTTACAATTTTCATTATAGAAGCTATAAGTAAGTTGTTTCTGTGTTTATATGTACAAATAACAAAGATATTACAAAGATTGTACAGATGCCCATACGTTTTACGTAATCGTAGCACCCTATGACGTCACTTAGTGCCTTGAATTTGTACGGAGCGTTTTGGCCGATTAGTAGCAGTTCCACATACAGCACCGTATCTCCCAAAAACTGTAAATCGCAGTAATCGTAGTGCGTTTTAAGCTTAAGTGATATTTTTTTTATCTTGGCAACATTAATCTTCAGTGCTGCCAACATTATATGTAAATATTGAAAGGCTAATGCTACGCTACTTGAGTGCTACGAATGAATATGGTAAACGAAGTATTCGATTATTTTTAATCAATTAGGATTTTTTTGATAACAACAACACATTCGTCGGTGTCAGTTCAAAAGGGTGTATGTCAAAACAGTAAATTTTCAGGAAACACAAAAAACTGTACATTTGTAAAATTTGCATACATAGGTTAACAAAACTCAGGGAAAAGCTTTAAATAAAATAGATATATGGATTTGCAAGATGACTGGTATCAAATTTCGTTTGAAAGATGATTTTCGGGTCAATACGACTTTTAGACACTTTTTTTTATATGTAGTGGCAAAACATACGACTTTTTGACTGTGTTTACGGCTTTTTGAAACGACAAAATGTTCACTTAGGACATTTTAAATAAGTCTTTTTGGTGACCTTTCAGACCGTATATATGAGGTTTTAATAAAATTTTGATCTTAGACAAGCCAAGAAAAATTATCGAAATTCATAAAAATCAAAAAAGATAATTTTATGTACGAGTACCTATATTCTTTCATAAAATCCACTACTAATTGATACTGATGTTAGTTTGAAATAAAAATCAATTTCATTTATATATCACAATCTCTTTAATAGTATTCTCAAAAAATCAACAAATTAAATTCTCAATTATTATAATTTGAGTTATTCAATTATAATAAACTTTACTTAAAACTTGAACAAATAATTACGAGATCAGCTTAGCTAAACTATTGTAAGCTACACTATTAGAAAAGCTTGTATTTTAAACTTACGAAATAAAGTTTATAACGATTTACTTATAAAATAGTAAAGTTGCAATGAAAATTTTAAATATTACTGGACTTACAACGAAAAAAATATTAGATAGTAAATATTGATTGATATTTTTATTACCTACCAAATGTTTTATAAGTAATTAGATCAAGACTGAATTTTTTGGTAATATAATCAACATAAAAGCCATAGATATTAAACAAAATAAAAATGAGAGTATCTAAATAAATTTAAATTTTAGATTAAATTAGGATTTTATATGAGAACATATTTCATTCGAGTTGCATTCATGTGGCAAGGAATCATAAAAATAATGGTAGTTATCGTGCATAAGTAATTTTAAATCCTGTAAATCAAGAAATTTTTTCAGAGTAATTTTTCTTTTTGAGCTGTACAGTGGAGGTACTTCGCAATTAGGAATTGGCAATTTGTGTCTACGGGGTAAGTCCTCCCATTCATCATCATATAATAATTTGTACTGGATTGTGCCATCGGGACTGTATTTCAAGCAACGAATATCATTAACTACGTTATCACCAACCCTATTACGAGGTCGTATACTTTTGTAGTAATTTAAATTCGCATAATTCTTAAAAAAGTCATATTTGAGGCTGTGAACTTCATACGGACTTGGAATCTTCCTAGCGCTTCGTATTATCTCTACATACTCAGCAGGTAAAAAAATATTCTTCTTTCAAATTTTTCGATCTATAACACTGTGTTCTGAATCCACTTCCAGGAATGTGTGTCCATGTTTAAGATATTTTTGCTCTATGATTATGCCAAGTTTGACAGCACAGTCCAAAATAGCATTCGATACTACTTGGTTTCGATTTTGATATCCACAACCATCCGACCATAATATTATTTTAGTTAAATTACTATCTGATCTTTCAAATTCAGATTTAATCAAATCAACATACAGAGAAGCAAAAACATCAGCTTCTAGCCCTCCATTTACTTCATCCCAAAGGTAGCATCTACCTTTGTGCGTCATAAGATCAAATGATGTGAAATTATGAATTTTCAATTTCATTTTGTAATACGCTAGTGACACGTTTAATTTTGGAGCCAACAAAATAGCTTGAACGTCTACACAAAATACCTTTAATGAGGTATCCATTTCGGCCAGTCTCTTATCTGCTGCTTTATTGTTCCTGCCCATATTTTTTCTTAATAAATGTAATTCGTACTTATCTTTGTCCAATCTAGATTCATGAAAAGCAAAACATGTGTCGCACTGGTCTTTACGGTTTTGAAATAAAGTAATGTTTTGTTTTTTTAGTTCTTCTGTAAAATGAGTCCAAGAATATGGTTTTATGTTATCTTTTTCGGCTATTAGTTTGTAATTATAATGTAAGTCTGTCAAGGAATCCCAGTTTGGTTCTAAGTAAATCTTCGTAGAGTTTGCCCGACAATAATGGGATTCCATTTTTGCTAAATTTCGTAAGAATGATTGAATATGAGTATCGCGATCTACTTGAGCGTTATTTAAGGTTGAACGTGATGTCGACGGGGTAGGAATTCCGTTTTGAGACCGTGTGCACCAGGATCTTGCACATTTTTCACCCAGATCAAGAGTATTTAAAAACATTTTTTTACACACAGGAAGACGATCGCCATTGTGCCTTAAATGGTATTTCAAAGTAAAATTTCTACGCGAACATTCAATATTTTGCCTTCGAGTAGTAGGCTCTATTTGGACAACCAAGCTTGCCACATATACTTTGCGCTGTTCCCAATTTAAATTTTGCCAAAAGTTTTCATGTATATTCTTTCTAGCTTCATCTGAAAACTTCCGATATTCCAATTTTGCAGATTTGCAGTTGCAAGCATCCTTCATTTGTTTAGCTCTTCTAAAATTACTTTGAATCCAATGACCGTCAATCTTTTTTAAACCATTATGAGATTTTCCTAGCATGCGTCGTTTTTGTTGCTTAGATCGGTAACGAGTCCGTTTTATTCCACGCCTTTTATTGGCATTCAAATTTTCACTGCCTTCAGTGGAGCTTTCATTTCCATCCGGTTCATAGGCATCATCATCATCATCATCATCGCAAACATCAGATTCAATAATTTCTTGAATTTTCTCTGAATCTGGGATCGTATTATTAGACCTCTCACTTAAGACAAGATTACTGTATTGTATTTCTCCTGTCTTTTCATTCAGAATACATTCATCAGTATCATGGATTAATAAATACTGGCTGATGCTAGGCGATAC